AAGTCTGTGGTGAACCCAGAACATGTTTTGTTGAAGCCCTACAACAACGTTATTTTGCTTTATATAACAAATAAAGGCTCGCTGCTCATTGAAAAATCCACCGCTGTCCTGACTACAGGCAACAGAGAAGCTCCTCCCACCGGCGTCAGGCGCGTCACTCGCGTCAAAAGCTTCAAGCACCAAAATGACAAAACTATCCCGGCGTCAGTTGAAGCGCGTCAAAAGCTTTTTGAAGCTTTTGGTCTGAACGCGCCTTTATCAGTTAAAGAAGGATTGGAAAAGACCAGATTATTATGATGACAGATTAGGGCCCTTTAATGATGACAGATTAGGGCCCTTTAATGACGACAGATTAGGGCCCTTTAATGATGACAGATTAGGGCCCTTTAATGATGACAGATTAGGGCCCTTTAATGACGACAGATTAGGGCCCTTTAATGATGACAGATTAGGGCCCTTTAATGATGACAGATTAGGGCCCTTTAATGATGACAGATTAGGGCCCTTTAATGATGACAGATTAGTGCCCTTTAATGATGACAGATTAGGGCCCTTTAATGATGACAGATTAGGGCCCTTTAATGATGACAGATTAGGGCCCTTTAATGATGACAGATTAGGGCCCTTTAATGACGACAGATTAGGGCCCTTTAATGATGACAGATTAGGGCCCTTTAATGATGACAGATAAGGGCCCTTTAATGATGACAGATTAGGGCCCTTTAATGAAGACAGATTAGGGCCCTTTAATGATGACAGATTAGGTCCCTTTAATTATGATAAAATCTTACTTATTGTTACTTTAAATTGAAGAATTAAGAGTTAAAATCCCCTAAAGCAGCTCATGACAGAAACATGCTCCTGTCGATCCAGCCTCAGTCCTGGGTCTACAGCCACAGTCCTGGGTCTACAGCCTCAGTCCTGGGTCTACAGCCTCAGTCCTGGGTCTACAGCCTCAGTCCTGGGTCTACAGCCTCAGTCCTGGGTCTGCAGCCTCAGTCCTGGGTCTGCAGCCTCAGTCCTGGGTCTACAGCCTCAGTCCTGGGTCTACAGCCTCAGTCCTGGGTCTGCAGCCTCAGTCCTGGGTCTACAGCCTCAGTCCTGGGTCTACAGCCTCAGTCCTGGGTCTACAGCCTCAGTCCTGGGTCTACAGCCTCAGTCCTGGGTCTACAGCCTCAGTCTCATTTGTGAAGTCTTCTTTGGTGGATTCTAAAACCAGTTTGATGAGTTTTGGTCTCGTCTCTGATCTGAACACAGAGGCCAAAGGTACATGTGAAAAAGAGTCTGTCTCTGGTCTCTCTTTGGTGTCTCTCTGTGGTCTCTCTGTGGTCTCTCTCTAGTCTCTCTCTAGTCTCTCTCTGGTCTCTCTCTGGCCTCTCTCTGGTCTCTCTCTGGTCTCTCTCTGGTCTCTCTCTGGTCTCTCTCTGGTCTCTCTCTGGTCTCTCTCTGGTCTCTCTCTGGTCTCTCTCTGGTCTCTCTCTGGTCTCTCTCTAGTCTCTCTCTCTGGTCTCTCTCTCTGGTCTCTCTCTGGTCTCTCTCTGGTCTCTCTCTGGTCTCTCTCTGGTCTCTCTCTCTGGTCTCTCTCTGGTCTCTCTCTGGTCTCTCTCTGGTCTCTCTGGTCTCTCTCTGGCCTCTCTCTCTGGTCTCTCTCTCTGGTCTCTCTCTGGTCTCTCCCTGGCTTTTCCCTGGTCTCCCTCAGGTCTCTCTCTGGCCTCTCTCTGGTCTCTCCCTGGTCTCTCTCTGGTCTCTCCCTGGTCTCCCTCTGGTCTCTCTCTGGTCTCTCTCTGGTCTCTCTCTGGTCTCTCTCTGGCCTCTCTCTGGTCTCTCCCTGGTCTCCCTCTGGTCTCCCTCTGGTCTCCCTCAGGTCTCTCTCTGGCCTCTCTCTGGTCTCTCCCTGGTCTCTCTCTGGTCTCTCCCTGGTCTCTCTCTGGTCTCTCTCTGGTCTCTCCCTGGTCTCTCTCTGGTCTCTCTCTGGCCTCTCTCTGGTCTCTCCCTGGTCTCCCTCTGGTCTCCCTCTGGTCTCCCTCTGGTCTCCCTCTGGTCTCCCTCAGGTCTCTCTCTGGCCTCTCTCTGGTCTCTCCCTGGTCTCTCTCTGGTCTCTCCCTGGTCTCTCTCAGGTCTCTCTCTGGTCTCTCCCTGGTCTCTCCCTGGTCTCTCTCTGGTCTCTCCCTGGTCTCCCTCTGGTCTCTCTCTGGTCTCTCTCTGGTCTCTCTCTGGTCTCTCTCTGGCCTCTCTCTGGTCTCTCCCTGGTCTCCCTCTGGTCTCCCTCTGGTCTCTCTCTGGTCTCTCTCTGGTCTCCCTCTGGTCTCTCTCTGGTCTCTCTCTGGTCTCTCTCTGGCCTCTCTCTGGTCTCCCTCTGGTCTCTCTCTGGTCTCTCTCTGGTCTCTCTCTGGTCTCTCTCTGGTCTCTCTCTGGTCTCTCTCTGGTCTCTCTCTGGCCTCTCTCTGGTCTCTCTCTGGCCTCTCTCTGGTCTCTCTCTGGCCTCTCTCTGGTCTCTCTCTGGCCTCTCTCTGGTCTCTCTCTGGCCTCTCTCTGGTCTCTCTCTGGTCTCTCTCTGGTCTCTCTCTGGCCTCTCTCTGGTCTCTCCCTGGTCTCCCTCTGGTCTCCCTCTGGTCTCTCTCTGGTCTCTCTCTGGTCTCCCTCTGGTCTCTCTCTGGTCTCTCTCTGGTCTCTCTCTGGCCTCTCTCTGGTCTCCCTCTGGTCTCCCTCTGGTCTCTCTCTGGTCTCTCTCTGGTCTCCCTCTGGTCTCTCTCTGGTCTGTCTCTGGTCTCTCTCTGGTCTCTCCCTGGTCTCCCTCTGGTCTACCTCTGGTCTCTCTCTGGTCTCCCTCTGGTCTCTCTCTGGTCTCCCTCTGGCCTCTCTCTGGTCTCTCTGGTCTCTTCCTGGTCTTTCTGGTCTCAGTCGTAGATAAAGAGTCCATGGCTTTTATTACTTTGTTCCATATTTCTGTGGTTTGAAACAATACAAACAAAAGTCAGAACAGAACAATAAGTTCAAAGCACCATGGGGCAACATCTCTGGGACCATCAAAGTGTGTCAGGTCCGCACCCACGGCACCAGAACCAGCACAATGGTCCAGGTGCTGCGAGGCTGATTTCACACAGAGGCAGCAGGACTCGCTCCAGGTTTAAAGAGATTGTTGGCTGCACGCTGGTTTCATGTCTGATACCATTAAGTCCATAATACCAGCAAGGTCTTGGCTCAGCAGGCTCTGTGTGTTTCCTGCAGCACTAGCACTTTGTTTGGGGAGGTACCATGTGCTCTGTGCATGTAAATACTGCTGTTTTTTTTTACTGGTTTGTTCATTTGACCTGGTAATGTACCAGCACTTTAATTGGACTGTCACATAGTGTGGCAGGTGAGACCAGAGAGACCAGAGAGACCAGAGAGAGACCAGAGAGACCAGAGAGACCAGAGAGAGACTAGAGAGACCAGAGAGAGACCAGAGAGACCAGAGAGACCAGAGAGAGACCAGAGAGAGACCAGAGAGACCAGAGAGAGACCAGAGAGACCAGAGAGAGACCAGAGAGAGACCAGAGAGAGACCAGAGAGACCAGAGAGACCAGAGAGAGACCAGAGAGAGACCAGAGAGACCAGAGAGACCAGAGAGAGACTAGAGAGACCAGAGAGAGACCAGAGAGACCAGAGAGACCAGAGAGAGACCAGAGAGAGACCAGAGAGACCAGAGAGAGACCAGAGAGACCAGAGAGAGACCAGAGAGAGACCAGAGAGAGACCAGAGAGACCAGAGAGAGACCAGAGAGACCAGAGAGACCAGAGAGAGACCAGAGAGAGACCAGAGAGAGACCAGAGAGAGACCAGAGAGAGACCAGAGAGAGAGACCAGAGAGAGACCAGAGAGACCACAGAGAGATCGGGGCGAGACCAGAGAGAGACCAGAGAGACCATAGAGATACCAGAGAGAGACCAGAGAGAGACCAGAGAGACCAGAGAGAGACCAGAGAGACCAGAGAGAGACCAGAGAGAGACCAGAGAGAGACCAGAGAGACCAGAGAGAGACCAGAGAGACCAGAGAGAGACCAGAGAGAGACCAGAGAGACCAGAGAGAGACCAGAGAGATACCAGAGAGAGACCAGAGAGACCAGAGAGAGACCGGGGCGAGACCAGAGAGAGACCAGAGAGACCATAGAGATACCAGAGAGAGACCAGAGAGAGACCAGGGAGACCAGAGAGAGACCAGAGAGACCAGAGAGAGACCAGAGAGAGACCAGAGAGAGACCAGAGAGACCAGAGAGAGACCAGAGAGACCAGAGAGACCAGAGAGAGACCAGAGAGATACCAGAGAGAGACCAGAGAGACCAGAGAGAGACCGGGGCGAGACCAGAGAGAGACCAGAGAGACCATAGAGACAGAGACCAGAGAGAGACCAGAGAGAGTCTATGCTAGGACCTGACTCTAAACCCAGCAGAGAGGGATTCAGTGAAATGCAGAAAACAGTCCTGTAGGTCCCTGCACCACTGTTTGGGAACCACTGCTGTTGTCTGTGTGTTTGTGTGAGTAACATAATCTCACACAGAGACCACAGCCTCAGGGCCGGCTGTTCCCAGGCACCTGTCCCTCCCCCCCCCGAGCCCCTCTGTGGGTCTGGGCTGAGGCAGCGAGGAGTGGACCAAGTGTGACATCACAACAATGTTATTCATTGATCTTTATCCAGCCAGCTCGAGTCCGGACTAGAACCAGGAAGTACCATCACATTAGTCCTAGTCTCAGGGCTCTGCTTCCTGTGGCTCAGAGAATAGACTGGCCTCCTGCTGGGACTCTGGTCTGGGGTCCTGGGTTTTGAGTCCTGGGTCCTGGGTCTCAGATCTTGGGTCTTGGCTCCTGGGTCCAGGGTCCAGGGTCTTAGGTCCTGGTCCTGGTCCTGGTCCTGGGTGTGTCGCAGCAGCTGGGCCCACGTGCCGCAGGCGTCAGAGAAACAGATATAAATAAGTCTCTGAAGAAACTTTTGTTTCTGTTTGAGCCTGATTTAAAAGTTTTATAATCAGAAGGTCTCTCTGATGAGGGTCTCTCTGATGAGGGTCTCTCTGATGAGGGTCTCTCTGATGAGGGTCTCTCTGATGAAGGTCTCTCTGATGAGGGTTTCTCTGATGAGGGTCTCTCTGATGAGGGTCTCTCTGATGAGGGTCTCTCTGATGAGGGTCTCTCTGATGAGGGTCTCTCTGATGAGGGTCTCTCTGATGAAGGTCTCTCTGATGAGGGTTTCTCTGATGAGGGTCTCTCTGATGAGGGTCTCTCTGATGAGGGTCTCTCTGATGAGGGTCTCTCTGATGAAGGTTTCTCTGATGAGGGTCTCTCTGATGAGGGTCTCTCTGATGAGGGTCTCTCTGATGAGGCTCTCTCTGATGAAGGTTTCTCTGATGAGGGTCTCTCTGATGAGGGTCTCTCTGATGAGGGTCTCTCTGATGAGGGTCTCTCTGATGAGGGTTTCTCTGATGAGGGTTTCTCTGATGAAGGTTTCTCTGATGAGGGTTTCTCTGATGAAGGTTTCTCTGATGAGGGTCTCTCTGATGAGGGTCTCTCTGATGAAGGTTTCTCTGATGAAGGTTTCTCTGATGAGGGTTTCTCTGATGAAGGTTTCTCTGATGAGGGTTTCTCTGATGAAGGTTTCTCTGATGAGGGTCTCTCTGATGAGGGTTTCTCTGATGAAGGTTTCTCTGATGAAGGTTTCTCTGATGAGGGTTTCTCTGATGAGGGTCTCTCTGATGAGGGTCTCTCTGATGAAGGTTTCTCTGATGAGGGTTTCTCTGATGAGGGTTTCTCTGATGAAGGTTTCTCTGATGAGGGTCTCTCTGATGAGGGTTTCTCTGATGAAGGTTTCTCTGATGAAGGTTTCTCTGATGAGGGTTTCTCTGATGAGGGTCTCTCTGATGAGGGTCTCTCTGATGAAGGTTTCTCTGATGAGGGTCTCTCTGATGGAGGGTCTCTCTGATGAGGGTCTCTCTGATGAGGCTCTCTCTGATGAAGGTTTCTCTGATGAGGGTCTCTCTGATGAGGGTCTCTCTGATGAGGGTCTCTCTGATGAGGGTCTCTCTGATGAGGGTTTCTCTGATGAGGGTTTCTCTGATGAAGGTTTCTCTGATGAGGGTTTCTCTGATGAAGGTTTCTCTGATGAGGGTCTCTCTGATGAGGGTCTCTCTGATGAAGGTTTCTCTGATGAAGGTTTCTCTGATGAGGGTTTCTCTGATGAAGGTTTCTCTGATGAGGGTTTCTCTGATGAAGGTTTCTCTGATGAGGGTCTCTCTGATGAGGGTTTCTCTGATGAAGGTTTCTCTGATGAAGGTTTCTCTGATGAGGGTTTCTCTGATGAGGGTCTCTCTGATGAGGGTCTCTCTGATGAAGGTTTCTCTGATGAGGGTTTCTCTGATGAGGGTTTCTCTGATGAAGGTTTCTCTGATGAGGGTCTCTCTGATGAGGGTTTCTCTGATGAAGGTTTCTCTGATGAAGGTTTCTCTGATGAGGGTTTCTCTGATGAGGGTCTCTCTGATGAGGGTCTCTCTGATGAAGGTTTCTCTGATGAGGGTTTCTCTGATGAAGGTTTCTCTGATGAGGGTTTCTCTGATGAGGGTCTCTCTGATGAGGGTTTCTCTGATGAGGGTTTCTCTGATGAGGGTCTCTCTGATGAGGGTCTCTCTGATGAGGGTTTCTCTGCTGCTGATGAATCCACACTTTATTCATCCTCTCATGTTTTCAGCGGTAGGGGAAACCGGAGCACCTGGAGGTGGCCCTGTTGGTAGAGCATTCACCTTTGAGCCTGAAGGTCGTGGGTTTGAGTCCACCACAAGACTTTCTCCTCCCACTGTCTGCTGTGGTTGTGTCCTTGGGCAAGACACTTCCCCCACATTAGAATGAGTCTGGTGTGTGTGTGAGTGGTTGGTGGTGTTGGGAGGGGCCGATGGCACAGACTGGTTGCCTCGCTTCTGTCAGTGTGCCCCAGGGCAGTGAAGAGACGTTGAGTGTCCAGAAAACCTGTGTATTATAATCGTTATGATCCTGACCTCCTGCTGGGACTCTGCATCAGTGCAGTACCTCCTGCTGGGACTCTGCATCAGAGCAGTATCTCCTGCTGGGACTCTGCATCAGTGCAGTATCTCCTGCTGGGACTCTGCATCAGAGCAGTATCTCCTGCTGGGACTCTGCATCAGAGCAGTATCTCCTGCTGGGACTCTGCATCAGAGCAGTACCTCCTGCTGGGACTCTGCATCAGAGCAGTATCTCCTGCTGGGACTCTGCATCAGAGCAGTACCTCCTGCTGGGACTCTGCATCAGAGCAGTATCTCCTGCTGGGACTCTGCATCAGAGCAGTATCTCCTGCTGGGACTCTGCATCAGAGCAGTATCTTCTGCTGGGACTCTGCATCAGTGCAGTATCTCCTGCTGGGACTCTGCATCAGAGCAGTATCTCCTGCTGGGACTCTGCATCAGTGCAGTATCTCCTGCTGGGACTCTGCATCAGAGCAGTATCTCCTGCTGGGACTCTGCATCAGTGCAGTATCTCCTGCTGGGACTCTGCATCAGAGCAGTATCTCCTGCTGGGACTCTGCATCAGAGCAGTACCTCCTGCTGGGACTCTGCATCAGTGCAGTATCTCCTGCTGGGACTCTGCATCAGAGCAGTATCTCCTGCTGGGACTCTGCATCAGTGCAGTATCTCCTGCTGGGACTCTGCATCAGAGCAGTATCTCCTGCTGGGACTCTGCATCAGAGCAGTATCTCCTGCTGGGACTCTGCATCAGAGCAGTACCTCCTGCTGGGACTCTGCATCAGAGCAGTATCTCCTGCTGGGACTCTGCATCAGAGCAGTATCTCCTGCTGGGACTCTGCATCAGAGCAGTACCTCCTGCTGGGACTCTGCATCAGTGCAGTATCTCCTGCTGGGACTCTGCATCAGTGCAGTATCTCCTGCTGGGACTCTGCATCAGAGCAGTATCTCCTGCTGGGACTCTGCATCAGAGCAGTATCTCCTGCTGGGACTCTGCATCAGAGCAGTATCTCCTGCTGGGACTCTGCATCAGAGCAGTATCTCCTGCTGGGACTCTGCATCAGAGCAGTACCTCCTGCTGGGACTCTGCATCAGTGCAGTACCTCCTGCTGGGACTCTGCATCAGAGCAGTACCTCCTGCTGGGACTCTGCATCAGTGCAGTATCTCCTGCTGGGACTCTGCATCAGAGCAGTATCTCCTGCTGGGACTCTGCATCAGAGCAGTACCTCCTGCTGGGACTCTGCATCAGAGCAGTATCTCCTGCTGGGACTCTGCACCAGAGCAGTATCTCCTGCTGGGACTCTGCATCAGAGCAGTATCTCCTGCTGGGACTCTGCATCAGAGCAGTATCTCCTGCTGGGACTCTGCATCAGAGCAGTACCTCCTGCTGGGACTCTGCATCAGAGCAGTATCTCCTGCTGGGACTCTGCATCAGAGCAGTACCTCCTGCTGGGACTCTGCATCAGAGCAGTATCTCCTGCTGGGACTCTGCATCAGAGCAGTACCTCCTGCTGGGACTCTGCATCAGAGCAGTATCTCTGATGTTCCTAAAGGCTGCAGTCCTATTGTTGTTCAGCTCCACATGGTCCTGTGAATGAAGAAGGTGTGTCACGGCTCAGAAAGGTCGGGGAACACTGCCACAAACAATAGTTCCTGTTTGAAACATGTTAATTACTGGTCACTGCAGCTGTTAATCACTTAAAAATTATATCATCGAAGATCTTCAATAAAAGACTGTTCTCTGCTGAAACAGAAGTCTCCATCCCCCACACACGCCTGTGTCTGCTCTAACTGAGGATCCTGAGAGTGGATCAATACAGGCGTGTCAGGGAGCAGTGTCTCCACACCGAGCAGGAGCCACAGCTGCAGGAGGCACAGCTGTAGAAGCCACAGCTGCAGGAGCCACAGCTGCTGAGTCATGGTTTAGGGCTCACACTAAACTACGCAGGGTCAGAGCTACAGGTGCTGAGGCTCCACAGGGTCAGAGCTACAGGTGCTGAGGCTCCACAGAGGCAGAACTACAGGTGCTGAGGCTCCACAGAGGCAGAACTACAGGTGCTGAGGGTCCACAGAGGCAGAACTACAGGTGCTGAGGCTCCACAGGGTCAGAGCTACAGGTGCGGAGGCTCCACAGGGTCAGTGCTACAGGTGCTGAGGCTCCACAGAGGCAGAACTACAGGTGCTGAGGCTCCACAGGGTCAGAGCTACAGGTGCTGAGGCTCCACAGGGTCAGAGCTACAGGTGCTGAGGCTCCACAGGGTCAGAGCTACAGGTGCTGAGTCATGGTTTAGGGCTCACACTAAACTACGCAGGGTCAGAGCTACAGGTGCTGAGGCTCCACAGAGGCAGAACTACAGGTGCTGAGGCTCCACAGGGTCAGAGCTACAGGTGCTGAGGCTCCACAGGGTCAGAGCTACAGGTGCTGAGGCTCCACAGAGGCAGAACTACAGGTGCTGAGGCTCCACAGGGTCAGAGCTACAGGTGCTGAGGCTCCACAGGGTCAGAGCTACAGGTGCTGAGGCTCCACAGGGTCAGAGCTACAGGTGCTGAGGCTCCACAGAGGCAGAACTACAGGTGCTGAGGCTCCACAGGGTCAGAGCTACAGGTGCTGAGGCTCCACAGGGTCAGAGCTACAGGTGCTGAGGCTCCACAGAGGCAGGGTTAGGGTTATATCTGCAGAGGTCACCGTGAGGGAGATTACATGTTCTCCACATGACTGTGTAGGTTTCCTCCAGGTGCTCCGGCTCGGGGTTGAGTCTGTGAGTGTGACTGTGGGACGGCAGATGGAAATATGAACAGCTGCTGTGTTTATGTTATATTCATATAGTAATTATGGACTAAACCTAAACAGATTATTTATCTTGTAATTATCAAGATTATGATAATTGTACCTTCCGACTTTCAACCATAGACATCCCAGATAAACACAGATCACAGAGAAACCACAGACTTCAGCCCAACATGGTGATGTCACACAAACGTTACTGAGCTACAGGAGTTTAC